GGGGGGGCTACATGGAAGATGAGGACTCCCTTTTCACAAGGAGTCACACAGAGAGGACAAGGGGGAATGGACACAAGTTGCTCTTGGGGAGATTCCGGCTGGACATGAGAGGGAAATTTTTCACCATGAGAAGAGTCCACCATTGGAATAACCTCCCCAGGGAAGGGGTTGACTCTGCCACATGGACACTTTTAAGACTCAGCTGGCAAGGGTGTTGGGCCATCTTGTCTAGACTGTGCTCTTGCCTAGAAAGGTTGGACCAGATGATCCTTGAGGTCCCTTCCAACCTAGGATTCTGTGATTCTATGAATCCCCTTCCCAAGGGGTGTCCCCACCTGGGAGCACCCCAGCCGGGAGGATAAGCTGCCCAGGTGAATTTTCCACGCCTGACTCCCAGCAGAAGCAGGAGGAACGTTTCCAGCGCGCTGCGAGAGCGCAGGGTGCTGTGAGTGGCTCGCCGGCACTCACCTTACAGGTTGGCATCGTACGCTGCGTTGGTGAAGGTGCCGGGTGATCCTAGGTCACTGGAAAACAGACACAAGGGTGTCATGGTGGGGGAGAGGGCAGGAACAGGAAGGGCGTGGGTTAGCACAGCCCTGTCAGCCCAGAAGATGCTCCCGCTGCATATAAAAGCAGCCTTGTGGGCAGATCTGGGTGACAGCGGGGTGACCGCAGGGCTGTGATGGCACAGGGCAGAGCCACCCGCCTGCAGAGCACGGCTCTCACCTGGTAGGGTTCAGGAGCTTCTTCTTCTCCTCTGATAACGGTGTCAAAATGTCCACAGGGACAGAACGGATAGAAAAGAAAGAACCAGATCTGTTTAGTGAAGGATGTGAGAAGCCGCAGCAGTGGTGTCTGAAATTGAACCGAGTTTGACAAGCATGGGATGGAACGGGGAGGGGGGGATGAAGCATTTGCTGCCTTCCCCTTCACAATGAAGGTGTTTTTCTGGCTCTGCCCTCCAAACCTGGCTGCTGACACTTTCAGCTGGACAAACTGCCAAGGACCCCAGCAAGTTGCAGCAAATAAGACACGTGGATTGAGGCAGTCACACTGTTAAACCCTTCTGGTCATCCCGCCCTCCCCTGGGACTGCATAACCACCTTGCCCAAGAGCTCCCAGCCAAAGCCATGGTGGGCTGTGGGGGGCCATTTCTCTACCTCTGTCGCTGAGCCGCTTGGCAAGGAAGGCGATGAGCGACCCTGAGAGCACGATGCCGGTGACCACCAGAGCCGCGATGCTGCTGTAAGCCAGTACTTGCTTCAAGAAGGGTGCACTGTCCTCTGAAACAGATCCACAGTCCCACAGGTTAGAAAGTTGTCAGAAGGACTTCACAGCACCCAGGCTGCTGCGGTGCCCCCCACCGCATTCAAGATGTGCTGCAGGAAGCTGGACCTCCCCTCCAGTGCTAGAGGAGAGTGGGGTCCCACCGTACCTGCACAGACAGGGGGTTGCCTGGTCCAGTTTCCCGTGGCTGCACACCAGAGCATCTCCGCTCCCATCCGAACAAACCCGTCCTCACAGGAAAAGGTGCACGTGGAGTTGTATGTGAAGTTCCCATGCATGTCAGAACAGTTCACCTGGCCTCTGCTGGGGGGATCCAGCACCGGGCAGCTGATGGCTGGAGATAAACCGCAGCGGTAGCATCAATAGGACAGGCCTGATGGTGGTGGCATGGGCACATGTGGGCTGGGGAGCCAGGGGATGAACTGCCATGGACCAGGGGTGCTAAGGGGAAGGGGATGCTGGGGAAAGCAATCTGCTACAACACAGCACTTGACGTGTGCATGATCATGAGTCCTACCTTTGCACTGTGGGGTGTCTCCAGTCCAGGTCCCTGCAGCCGTGCACTCACGGCTCTCTGGCCCCATCAGCACAAACCCCGTCTGGCAGGAGAAGGAACACGTAGAGCCAAAGGCAAAGTCCCCATGGAGGTGGGAACAGAGAGCTTGGCCCATCTTGGGGGTGGCCTGTGCCGAGCATTTGATGGCTGCAAGGGTAAAGACGCATGCTTCAAAAACAAGCCCGGGAGGCTACACTGTTGGGACCAAGAGACTGGGGAACATCCTAGTGTCACCCCAAGGCCAACAACCCCCTGAGCTCTAGCAGCAGCTCTACCTTCACAGCGTGGGGAGCCCCCAGTCCAGGTCCCTGTGGCCATGCACTCGCGGCTCTCTGGCCCTGTCAGCACAAAACCCATCTGGCAGGAGAAGACACACGTGGAGCCGAAGGCAAAGTCCCCGTAGCGGTGGGAGCAGTTCATCTCTCCTCGGTCTGGAGCACTGAGCATTGGGCAGGTGGTGGCTGCAGGAGTAGAGATACACTTCAAGCATAAGCCTGGGGACTATGGGGCTAAACTGTTAGGATGAGAGGACCAAGACACCCAAGAACATCCTAGGGTCAACCCAAGGCCTGTGGCACCTTGAACAGCAACTCTACCTTCACATCGTGGGGCATCTCCTGTCCAGGTCCCTGTGACCATGCAGTTGCGGCTCTCTGGCCCCATCAGGGCAAACCCCGTCTGGCAGGAGAAGACACATGTGGAGCCAAAGGCAAAGTCCCCATGGAGGTGTGAGCAGTTCAGCTCTCCCTGCTCTGGAGCACTGAGCACCGGACAGGTGATGGCTGCAGGGATAGAGATACACTTCAAGCATGAGCCTGGGGACTACAAGGCTAAACTTTTAGGATGAGAGGACCAAGACACCCGAGAACATCCCAGGGGCACCCCAAGGCCTGTGACTCATTGAAAAACAACTCTACCTTTGCATTGTGGGGTGTCCCCAGTCCAGGTCCCCGTGGCCATGCATTCACGGCTCTCTGGTCCTGTCAGCGCAAACCCTGTCTGGCAGGAGAAGACACACGTGGAGCCGAAGGTGAAGTCCCCATGGCGGTGGGCGCAGTTCATCTCTCCTCGGTCTGGAGCGCTGAGCACTGGGCAGGTGATGGCTGCAGAGGTAGAGACACAGTCCAAGCAGGAGCCTAGGGTCTGCGAGGCTCATCTGCTGGGACCGAGAGGCTGGGGAGACACTAGGGTGTTCCCCGAGATCAGTGACACCCTGAGCTCTAGCAGCAACTCTACCTCCACAGTGTGGGGAGCCCCCAGTAGAGATACACTTCAAGCAGCAGACTGGGGACTACAAGGCTAAACTGTTGGGTCCAAGAGGCTGGGGAACATCCTAGTGTCCCCCCAAGGCCAATAACCTGAGCTCTAGCAGCAACTCTACCTCCACAGTGTGGGGAGCCCCCAGTAGAGATACACTTCAAGCAGCAGACTGGGGACTACAAGGCTAAACTGTTGGGTCCAAGAGGCTGGGGAACATCCTAGTGTCCCCCCAAGGCCAATAACCTGAGCTCTAGCAGCAGCTCTACCTTCACAGCGTGGGGAGTCCCCAGTCCAGGTCCCTGTGGCTGGGCCCTCGCGGCTTTCCATCCCCATCAGTGCAAACCCCGTCTGGCAGGAGAAGACACACATGGAGCCGAAGGCAAAGTCTCCGTGGCGATGGGAGCAGTTCAGCTCTCCTTGGTCTGGAGCACTGAGCACTGGGCAGGCAATGGCTGCAGGGATAGAGATACACTTCAAGCATAAGCCTGGGGATTATGAGGCTAAACTGTTAGGATGAGAGGACCAAGACACCACAAGGCTAAACTGTTGGGTCCAAGAGGCTGGGGAACATCCTAGTGTCACCCCAAGGCCAATAACCTGAGCTCTAGCAGCAGCTCTACCTTCACAGCGTGGGGAGTCCCCAGTCCAGGTCCCTGTGGCTGTGCACTCGCGGCTTTCCATCCCCATCAGTGCAAACCCCGTCTGGCAGGAGAAGACACACATGGAGCCGAAGGCAAAGTCTCCGTGGCGATGGGAGCAGTTCAGCTCTCCTTGGTCTGGAGCACTGAGCACTGGGCAGGCAATGGCTGCAGGGATAGAGATACACTTCAAGCATAAGCCTGGGGATTATGAGGCTAAACTGTTAGGATGAGAGGACCAAGACACCCAAGAACATCCTAGGGTCAACCCAAGGCCTGTGGCACCTTGAACAGCAACTCTACCTTCACATCGTGGGGCATCTCCTGTCCAGGTCCCCGTGGCCGTGCACTCGCGGCTCTCTGACCCCATCATTGCAAACCCCATCTGGCAGGAGAATTCACACACGGAGCCAAAGGCGAAGTCCCCATGGAGGTGTGAGCAGTTCAGCTCTCCCTGCTCTGGAGCGCTGAGCACCGGACAGGTGATGGCTGCAGGGCGAAGAGGCACACTTCAAAGCAGGAGCCTGGGAACTGGGAAACTAAACTGCTGGCACCAAGAGACTGGGGAACATCCTAGTGTCACCCCAAGGCCAACGGCACCTTAAGCTCTAGCAGCAGCTCTACCTTCACAGCGTGGGGAGTCCCCAGTCCAGGTCCCTTCGGCCGTGCATTCATGGCTCTCTGACCCCATCAGTGCAAACCCCGTCTGGCAGGAGAAGTCACACACGGAGCCAAAGGCGAAGTCCCCATGGAGGTGTGAGCAGTTCAGCTCTCCTCGGTCTGGAGCGCTGAGCACTGGGCAGGTGATGGCTGCAATAGAAGAGCAGGTCTCAGAAACAGGATAGATGAGGTTAAGTCTAGGGATTAGGGCTGAAGCCCAATCACATAAATCCAGATTTATGGCCTTTGATTTACCTTTCTCACCCAGGCCAGTCTCACCTTTTCAAAAACAGTAGTAACATAGTTGGTACAATGATTTTTCTGCCATATGAGTGATTTCCTGCCCTGTTTATCCCCTGCACTACCCCTGGTCACAGCCCCCGGGACGAGGGACCACGGCTGCTGCAGTCCTGCTTGCCTCCTTCCCTGGAGGGGAGCAGAGACCTGCCTCCATCCTTGTCACAGCAGCAGGGGGAAGGGCACCCAGATGGCTGTGAGGCTCTAGGGGACCAGGAGGGGCTGACTGAAATAGCTGTAGAGTTTGCTTGCCAGCCTCCCCAGGCTGTGCCTGGGGTGCACTTTGCTGTGTGCCGGGACAGCACCTGACATTTTCTGGGGTGAGCAGCTCCGCTGCCTGCGGAACCACCACAGGTTAGCGCCAGGAGGGCATCTAACAGCACCAGCACCCAGCCCAGGTGAGACAGACCCCATTCCCCGCGCCTTCTGCTTTCAGGCTGATGCATAACAATTTCCTTGGTAGGCTTTTCCTTTCATAGCTATTTTACAGGCAAGCCTGGTTTCCCACAGATCCCCAGAGCTGTCTACCGGGGCCCCAAAACCCAGGCTGAGCCACCCTGGGCTCTACCTTTGCAGCGTCGGGGGGCCCCGTCCAGACCCCACCGGCCATGCACTGCAGCCTCCAGGCTCCCGTCAGCTCAAACCCCTCCTGGCAGGAGAAGGCACACATGGAGTTGAAGGCAAACACACTGTGCAGGTGGGAGCAATTGACCTGGCCCCCTTTGGGGGCAGCCAGCTGGGGGCACGGGACGGCTGCAGGCAGGCACAGGGCAGGGTGTGTGAGGGCAGGGCAGGCAGCCTCGTCCCTCGTGGTGCCCGCAGCACCATCAGCCTCACCGCAGCAGGAGCCTCTGCTCGTTTTTGGAGTAAACCCAACTGGCAATGCTTGCTAACGCAGCTTTGTTATCAGCAAGGGCGACTGACTGGCTCGCCTGAGTCTTTGCAAAAAAGAAAAAGCAATCATATGTACAGCCAGCAGGAAAAAAAAAAAAAAAAGAGCTGGGAAAGCAAGCCCTTGGGAACTTGAAAAGCCTGGAGTGGGCAGGCTCAGCCCAGCTTGCCTGGGGGGACTTCCACAAAATTGGGAGCCAGCTCCTGACCCTGCCACTGCTGGGGATGCTGGCCACAGAACAGTCACATCACGTCTTCATGCCCATTCCCCTTAACTGCAGAAAGCTTTGCTGGTCTCAGCTGCCTAAAGTCCCATGTTGGACCACAGGCCCACACGGCACAGGTGTCGTCGGTAGCACTAACTTCACACACAGAGGCTTTGCCCACCCCCTGGTCCCCAGTTGTGTCCTGTGTCTGCCCCAGTCTTTTGACTCATCCCATCCTTGTGCAGGGCTGCAGATCCACCATGCAGTGGCACAGGGAAGGTGGAACAGGGCTCTGTTCCAACCCTCACAAAAAAGCCCAGTACTTCTCTGGGGCACCTGGCGGCAAACCCTCAAGCTGTCAAGAGGAAGACTTTCCCTGCCCCTGCAGTGTAACGTAACTCAGCTTTCTCTCCTTTGCGGTTTCCTGCCCCACTGTGTCCCTCCCAGCTTATATCTAACCTCATCTCGCTGGTCCTCACCCCACACGCGGCAGCCCAGCTCTGCCAGAATACACCCTTCCCCAGCTGCAGGATGGCAGCCCCCCTTAGCTCTTCCCTGAGGACCCCCAAGATGCTGAGCATCCTCCCAAGGTGGATCAGGGTAGGCTTTAGGGAGGAGCAGACAGTGCCACTGGTGTGATGGAAGTGCCAAGACACTGTCCTGCCCCCACGCATGGTGAACACAGGGTGCTGGCACCTGGGTGTGATTCAGGACAGGGAGCAAGAGGATGGGGACAGCTAGGGAGAGTCGGGGGCTTATCCAGAGCTCACAGCCACTCTGCCCATTGCGGCCTCATCGCGGAACCACTCCCTGCATGCAGCACAGGGAACTGCTTCCCCAAAGGGCAGGGGCACGGCAAGCCCAGCCCGTTGCTTGCCTGATCAGTGTTGGGCACGCAAGTCTGGCCCCCAAAGCATTAATGCTGCATCCCTGAGACCACCAGCCCCTGGCAGGCCCTACCTGTGCAGATGGGGGTCTCTGCCGACCACTGCTGGGAAGGCAGGCACCGCAGCATGCCTGCCCCTCGCCGCTTGAACCCCTCCTGGCACTCGAACGCGCAGGTGGAGTTGTAACTGAAGTCTCCGAAGGGATGGCTGCAGTTCATGAGCACTCCCTTGGGCTCGAGCTTGGTGCACTGCACAACTGGGAGAGACACAGTGCCACCAGCCCATTAGGAGCATAACGAACTTGCCCGCTTTGTCGACGGGGCTCAGGGTCTCCAGCAGGGAGGGAGGGGTGGGGATGGGTGGCTCACCGTCCTCGCACTCAGGGCCGTGGAAGCCAGGGTAGCACTCGCAGCGGTAGCTCCCGTCCCCAGCCCACCCGATCCGGGTCCATGCTGCAGTGCCCCCACTCACCCTGGTAGCACAGCGCCTTTTTCCTCCGGCTGCAGGGCTCATCGTTCCACTTGCCTGACTCCTGCTGCCGCTTGATGTAGATCTCCACGCAGTCCTGGTTGGAGCGGCGGTTGTTGGGCTCCCCAGCTGCCCAGTTCTCTGCCTCCTTTGTCAGCGCCTTCTTGGTGCCCACCCAGGTCCAGATGCCCCCCAGCTTGCGGATGCCAATCCAGTAATAGCGCCCATGGAAGGGCAGGCTCTTGTTGAGGTACTCGATTTCCTGCTTGTTCTGGATCGCCACCAAGTCAGTGAAGAAGGTCCGGCAGTAGTTTCTGGCCTGCTCCCACGTGTAGTCCCCTTGGTCACTGTAGTGGTATGTCCAGGCACCCACCTCCATCTGCATCACTGTGCCTGCAAGAGAGGATGAGGTCTGGGATTGACATAGAAAGGACGGGAGCCAGGTCAGGGACGGGGACATGAGGGTGATCTAGGGCTGGCAGCAGGGCCAAGAAATGCCGGCAACCAGCTGGGTGAGGGGATGGAACGAAGGGACGAATGTGGATGAGAATGGGACTCTAAAGGTACACGGAAACCTGGGTGGGTCAGGCATGGCAGAAGGAGCTGAGATGGGACAGAGGGGGATGGCACAGGGATGAGGAAGGTGGGGGAGATGGGGTGAAGGCTGAGACAGAGGGTAGCATGGGATGGGGCGGGCAGAGCTGCGGCAGAAGAGCCCCAAGCGGTGAGGCCAACCCCTCCTCCAGCATAAGTGGTGAAAGCCCAGCACCACAGCCCCACTCCCCTGCCCACAAAGGTTTCCCAAAGGGGAAAACCCAACATCAAGGTGGTTCCTTAAATACGGTTCCTTCCTCGAGCACAGAAGTGTGCTACTTTGGTTTTCTTGCTCTGCACTTCTACATGAGAGTCAGCTTGGAGCAAGGCAGAGCAACGAGCATGCCCTCACTCCTAAAAGCATTTGGATCCTGTTCATCTGAACTAGAGATGGTCTGAAGAGTCTTGTAAAATTCAGTATTGCAAAACAACGTCTTGCAAAAGTCAAGTTCACATCTTGGCCATGTCCATCAGGCAGGGCAAAACCAGAGATTAACTTGGAACCCACACCCAGAAGTGAAGGGCACTTTGCTGAAACCCTACTCTTATTTACAGCATTTTGCACCACAACTTGATGCAATCAAAGGGTTTTAGCCACAAAAAGGAGCTTCCTTCCTCCTCTCCAGAAGCAGGTATCTCCACAACTGCAGAAAGTGATACAGGGATCATATCTGTGCAGAAAGTGAGATGAGGATCAAAGTTTGCTCCAACCAACTAGCCTGAGGTACCCTGTGTCTCAGGAGAGTGTATCACACTGCGGTCACGCAGGCAAAGGTCTGGGCATCACAGATTAGATGCAAATCTAGGGCTTCCCCAGTCTAATTAGGGGTCTAGTGGGGTCAATAATTATGCATTTTTCTAAGCAAAATTCCCATAATTTGTCTGGTTTTCCTTGTGAAAGAGCAAACTATCCACTTTGTTCAAAAAACCTGAAGCTGAGCAAAATGTGGCCTTAACAACAGCCCTCCTTCTCCCCTCCTGGGAGCCTGCCCCCTCCTCAGCTCCCACCACCCACCTCCTGGCCCTCGCTATCCCCCAAGTATGGCTCAGGGCAGCTGCCCTGCTACCCTCACACACCCCATCCCCAAACCAAAAATGACCAAGGGAGCCCATCTGCTACGTGCCCATCCTCCATGTGCTCTCCTGCCTCTTTCTTCCAGCTCCACCAGTAACACCCTTTCTGTAGCACAGGTCATCCCTACTCCTTCCCCTCAGCCTTGTGTTACCTCTCCCTGCCCTACCTGGAGCTGAACCCCCAGGTAGGTGCTGTTTGCCTGCGTTTTGACTCCTTGCCTCCCCTGCAGCCCCAGATGCCTCCCCCCAGGGCGGTGCTTAGCACCCACCGCTGGACTCAGGGTGCCTTTGCATTTTTGTTTTCCTCTCAGAGCTAAATCTCAGCCTCCTCCTGACACTTCTGCATTTGCCTCTGTTCCTTAGCTCAACCGTTAAAGGTCCTTTGGAAAATAACCCAGCTCATGGAGGATCTCTAGGGACAGAGCAGGCACCAGAAGGTTTTGCTCTGTGCAATACCAACATGTGAAGGAAATATCCTACAGGCAGCAGAACCAAATTAGTTTCTACTCTGATTTCTTCTCCTGATGTCAGTTAGCAGCTTTAATTCTGTGTGGTGCTGCCTCAGCTGTGCTCCCAACCCTTGCACCTGTGGGTGCTGTGGCTATGTCCGTGCCCAGCTCTGCAACATGGGCATGGGCATAGGCAGGGGGTAGAGCTGCTGCTGCCTTTCTCCATTTCTTGGTACAGTGCACTGGCTGCCATGCTGCATTTGGGGAACCAGACACCCTGCGGGAACCCCACACGTGGCCCAGCCCTCCCCAGGGGAGCACAGTCCTGTGATGGGTCTGTCTGGAGGGAGCTGGCCCGGGCAGATGCAGCCCCTTCCCAGCCCAGAGGGGTCCATCCCTGGGGGTGGCAGCCATAGGGTTGTAACCGATGAGCCCCCAAAATAACAATGCTGACCTTCTCCATTTTCCCGGACCTGCTGGCTCCTCAGCAGCAGGATCACACTAGGCTTACTGAGCGGGCGGCAGGCAGCTTACCCCATGCGATGGCAGCGATGCCCAGGTAGCAGATGCCACGAGAGCCCAGAGCCCACGTCCTTCCAGCAGACCGCAGTCCCGCAGCAGTGCCCTGTGTGCCAGGGAGGGAGGTGTGAGCATGCACGTCCCACGGGGGCTCTCCCACCCCCTTCTGCACCTCACTGCTACCAGGCAGTCCTGGTAGCCCCAAGGGCACATTGCTTGTGCCAGCTCGCACGCAGACACACACGGTGCCGCCGGCCAGGTATGGCTCTGCTGTAGAAAGGGCCCCTCCAGCGAAGCACTTTGGGGGGGCTGTGCCTGCAGCACAGCTGGGCAGCGGGGGAGGCTGTGCCAGAAATGCAGTTTCCTAAACTCCCTTTTCCAGGCAGAACCCAACCCATCCCCAGGAAAAGGAACGAGACCTACCATGTCGGCGCCACAGATGCACCTTGCCCAGCCACCGGCAGCACCAGGCGCTTCTGGCCCTCGGCAGGCAGCGAGGCTGACACTTCCTCCAAGAAGCATCGCTCCCTGCCCTTGGCCTCTTCCCCTCCCGCCCCAGTCCCGCTGCCAGCCCGCATCCTGCCTCACGCCTCCGCCTCCCCAGCCACAGGCTTTCCCACCCCCAGAGACCCCACTCCCAGCCCGGGGCCAGAGGGGAACAGTGGGGTCAGCCCTGTCCACAGCCCTGGTGGGGCTCAGCTCATCACCTGCCCCATGGCACGGGAGCTGGGTGCATCCCCACGCTGCCATGGGAGCCAACCCACGTCTGCCTGAGCCCCCCAGGAGGTGCAGAAGGGTCCAGCCCCAGCCCATGGTGCCCAGGGCATCGAGACCTCTCCAGCCCACCATGTCCATGTTGCAGTGCCCACGCTGGTGGTCAGAAGACAGAGGAGGAACGAGGTGCGATGAGCTCCCACGAGGGCTGAGTAGGAGCGTGGCTCGCAGCCTCCTGGCTCCTGAGTCGGATGCTCTCCTCACTCACAGGCTTTTTGGCTCTGGCTGTGAATCTTCATATACCATTTATAAGCAGTTACGTACACAATGTATTTTCCTGTCTTTGCCTTTAAGTCTTTATGAGAAAGGTCCAAGAACATGCCAGAGGAACTTCCCCTGAGTTGTTAATATCCTTCATGAACTTCCACCAATGCTTCAGGAACATGCCTCATTGTGTCCACCTCCCCTTGGATCACTCTTGAATCATCATAAATCTTCCCTTATCCCATTCTGCTTCTAAGTAAAATTGCCTTGGCAGGGTTTTATGCTGGAATTACTCTGCTCACTTCCAGCTAAAAGCCAGAGTGAGAGCCATGCAGGTCACATGCATTTTCCAGTTCCAGAGAAACTGATGCTGCTCCAGTGGGATTCATGCTAGACAAAAGGAGGAACCCATCCCACAAAAGCCATAACCCGCTACAGTGACTTTATACTTGGCCAATATAAATGAAACTCACTTCCTGTCTCTGCCTATCTTCCTTGCAAAATGTTTTATTGCAATTGTCTATTTTTATGGAATTGCTGAGGATGAGCCTGTATGTCCAGTAACTCAGGAGCGCTTGCTTTCCAGAAGCTCATGTGCAGAGGGTGTGCAATTACGGCAAGGAAAGAAGCAGCTGGGTGGGCAGAGAGGCTGAGGGGCAGCTACTGAGGCAGGAGAGCATCTTCAAATGCTGAGGGACACTCGGGCAGGCTGGGAGCTGCCTCTCCCGTGTGGCAGGAGACCCACTGGGAATCAGAGGGGTGCTTGCGGGTGCACGGCCCTGGGAGGGGAGCAGGCTGTGCCCCTGCCAGTTTCACTTCTGCTGAAACCTGACACGGTAGGGTAGAGCAGTAGAAAAAAAATATTTCCACCTTTATTTTTGTAACTACTGAGGGTTTCTGTTATTGTTTTAAAAACAGAAGGAAGGTGGCTGAGACCCAGAGGCTGCCACCACAAAGGGCAGAACGTGGCCAAGTCCGAAGCTGTTTGTGGGGGTAGGTACCCCGTGCCTGCAGGTACCTGGGCTCAGAGAGGGGGCCGTGCATGGCAGGACGGGAACTTGAGGGTAGCTTTGCAGGTAGTGGACAAAGGTACACATGGTGGGAGGAAGAGAAGACGCAAATAGGCTCTGCTGGGACCTGGCTGATGGCCAGGAGCCCTTTTACATCTCAGAAGGTTTCCAAGGCTGGCTCCCTGGGAAGGATTCAGGATGCTGCAGGGCATATGCTCCCCACTGGGTTCCCAATGCCCCACTTACCAAGGAAGGGCCCCTCCCTGCCTTACGGGCTGAGCAGCGCAGGGATTTCTCGGGTGGTAGGATGGTGCATCCTGTCCCCCTGGCCACCCCTCCAAGGGCACAGTGCAAGCTGCAAGCCAGAGCTTTGCTCAGCGTGGGCTTGAGGGAGCAGGTACAAAGACACTTTCCTGTGTCACCTCCTCACTGTCCCTCTGGACTCTGTAGGGATCTGGAATGGAAATGTGCCCTGGTCCTGAGCCACAGACGGAGGCGATGCTTTCTCTCTCATGAAAGCCATGCTGGGGGCTGTATCTGTGGGGAAGGGGCATGGGTGCCCTACTCCCACCTGCAAACCACTGCTGGGGGTGCCGTGCAGCCGATTGGGCAACCCACCCACAGGCTGTGACTGCAGGGCTCGCCAGGGGGAAGCAGCTCGGTCGCTGCAGCCATCACTGCCTGCCCAGGCTGATGCTCTGCTCCCTCTCGATGTCCTCGGCCACACTGCAAGCAGGGTGTCATGTGCAGGGTAGGGTGCAATGCCTGCATGAGTATCCTGACAGCACTGGGAGCGCCCAGGTATGGATGGGACCCATGGTGCCGGGGGCTGTACGTGTTGCATGGGGAGGTGGGCACTGGCAGAGGTGGGCAGATGCCCCAGGGCTAAGTCCGGGCTGTGCCCAGCAATGTGTCCGCAGGGAGTGCCCAGGACCTGGGAGAGTGAGACCTTAGGGACAGGGGGTGCAAGGGGCACCCCCATCACCACCACACCAGAACCCCCACCCCGTGCAGAGGCACATGTTGTTGTTTTCGGCAGAGGCTCCCACCCCGCAGTGGCACAGCCTGTTCCCCTCCTTGTGCAATGTTTCCTGGCAAACCACAGAGGAACCGAGTCACCCTGACACAGCCTGCCCAGCTCAGCTGCCACCAGTGATACAGCAGGCACCTTCCTGGGGAGCCCCCCTTGCTGCCAGGGAGGGCTCAGCAGCCCACCAGAGCAAGGAGGGACCTAGCTGCACCCCTGGAGGAGCATGACGTGGTGCCGGTGAGGACCCACACCCCGCTGGGGTGCAGCCCTGCTGCTGCCATGCTCCACCCTGGGGAACGAGGCAGCTCTCTCTCTGAGACTTTAGAGGCACCTCCTGAATGTGGGCAAGGGATGGCTTCCCCCCACCACAGGTCGCCAGGGGGTGTTTGACCCAAAGGGTGGCCCTGAGCTGCAGGGTGCCTTTGGACACCTCTCCCAGTGTTACACCTGGTCAGCAGCCTGAGCAGCTGGACCCACCTCTAATGGCCCCAGAGGAAAGCGGCACCTGATAAAATCTTTCTCACAATTTGAAAGTGTTTGTCCACAGGAAGACGCATCAACTGAGTGCTGCTCTGGCTTTGGAGTGGGTGAGATGGTTGCAAGGATTAGCCAGGACCAGAAGGACAGGGACACTTCCAAGCCAGCCCATGGGCCGTGGCACCCTGCACCCCCCACCCACAGGGACTTCACAGCCCTGGGGCAGCCCTGGCTGTGGGATGCAGGGGTAGTTTCAAGCAAATCACTCCTGGCCACCCCACCCATTCCCTCTCAGAGACATTTCTTTGATCTCAGCTGTAGGATAGCTTTCTGCCTCATGCCTTTCCTCTTCCACACCTGTGACAGCCAGCCTTTTCGCTGGGCACCACTGCTGGCTGGGTACCCCCACCTGTGCTGCCTGCCTGCCCCCTGGGACCTTAGGGACAGGGGGTGCAAGGGGCCCCCCCATCACCACCACACCAGAACCCCCACCCCGTGCAGAGGCACATGTTGTTGTTTTCGGCAGAGGCTCCCACCCCGCAGTGGCACAGCCTGTTCCCCTCCTTGTGCAATGTTTCCTGGCAAACCACAGAGGAACCGAGTCACCCTGACACAGCCTGCCCAGCTCAGCTGCCACCAGTGATACAGCAGGCACCTTCCTGGGGAGCCCCCCTTGCTGCCAGGGAGGGCTCAGCAGCCCACCAGAGCAAGGAGGGACCTAGCTGCACCCCTGGAGGAGCATGACGTGGTGCCGGTGAGGACCCACACCCCGCTGGGGTGCAGCCCTGCTGCTGCCATGCTCCACCCTGGGGAACGAGGCAGCTCTCTCTCTGAGACTTTAGAGGCACCTCCTGAATGTGGGCAAGGGATGGCTTCCCCCCACCACAGGTCGCCAGGGGGTGTTTGACCCAAAGGGTGGCCCTGAGCTGCAGGGTGCCTTTGGACACCTCTCCCAGTGTTACACCTGGTCAGCAGCCTGAGCAGCTGGACCCACCTCTAATGGCCCCAGAGGAAAGCGGCACCTGATAAAATCTTTCTCACAATTTGAAAGTGTTTGTCCACAGGAAGACGCATCAACTGAGTGCTGCTCTGGCTTTGGAGTGGGTGAGATGGTTGCAAGGATTAGCCAGGACCAGAAGGACAGGGACACTTCCAAGCCAGCCCATGGGCCGTGGCACCCTGCACCCCCCACCCACAGGGACTTCACAGCCCTGGGGCAGCCCTGGCTGTGGGATGCAGGGGTAGTTTCAAGCAAATCACTCCTGGCCACCCCACCCATTCCCTCTCAGAGACATTTCTTTGATCTCAGCTGTAGGATAGCTTTCTGCCTCATGCCTTTCCTCTTCCACACCTGTGACAGCCAGCCTTTTCGCTGGGCACCACTGCTGGCTGGGTACCCCCACCTGTGCTGCCTGCCTGCTCCCTGGTGCCTGGCAGCAGCAACATGTGGGTGGCACAGATAAGAATTTGCCAAACAGGATGCCAGGGGCGTAGATAACGCCAAAGTTATCTCACTGCTTCTGTGGTAGGGAGTAAACAAGAGGCTCTGCCCAGCCGGGGAATCCCACAGCAGTACCTCTGCCCTGCCAACGAGCTGGAGCACAGGGTGGGTACAGGGGTGCAGCTCCGGAGGTGTGTGGCGTCCAGAGGCAGCCCCGCGGCCATGCAGACAGCCCTTGCTCTGAGAGAAAGCAGAAC